TTCATTATTAGTATATTTTTAATAAGCTGTTTATATTTTTAGACAGAAATAGCAAAACGTTTGAATACAATATGCAATCAAGTGGTGCAGTATCTTTCACAAGAGGTAAAAAAGTATACTTTTTTTAAAAAACATTTTGGCGATTTAATTTAAAATATGTTAAAATAAAATGTTTATATTTTTTACAACAATTTTTTTTAAAACAATGTATAATTAAAGTGTACCTCAATTTTTTAATTTAGGTTATTTTTCAATACTAACTATACATATTTTTTAACGATTGTTATACAATTTGATGATTTATTTTGTTTAGCATCAGCAACAAGTATTGCAGACTATTGAAAGAGCCAAGCAAGTGACGATGGCTGAGTTAAATGCAATTATTGGGGTATAGTGTTTTTTTAGTGTTGTTAAATGACTATGTTAATAAAAATGACTTGTTATAATATTTGTTGTTTTATATTTCAGTTGATAATTGGTATAGTTTTTTTTTACTATAAGAAAAAGAGTTTAATAATACATTTTATAAACTTCTAAACAATTTGAATAATGCTACATGTTGTTAAACTTTTTATTATTACTATTTGTTGTGTAGTTATTATTAAAAAATAACATACAAATATTTGCACCTTTTATAAACACCTTTTAGTACACCAACAAATTCAATATGTATTTAAAACAAGAAATACCTAATTTTTCTAATTTTTTAAGAAACGTAATACTATTAGTTATTGGTTTTTGTCAGTTTCATTGGTGCATTTAAATGTCATTTAAACTATTTTAACAGCTCATTTAGTAATCTCATTAATTTGAAAATTTAAACAAATTTTAAAAACTAAAAAATATAGTTTTAAAAAGTTTTAAAACTATATTTTGATAAGTAAGACTGAAGTGCAAATTCTTATATTGTGCAAAATATTAAAATTATAAACTCGTATGGTAAATTATATCAAGTTTTATTGATATTTTTTTTAAAAAGATTATTTATAATGGTTCAATGCATTTGCAAAAGGTGCTATAAGAATATCCAAGGTTTAGGGAAATGATTTTTACAGCTGACCCTGTCTCACTGAGAAATCAAGTATCTTTAATTAAAATAAATTGATTGATTCGAATCACCTTACATTTCTCATATGAAAAAAATCTGGAGAAAAAGTTGTTAAAAATCAAAAGTTTTCTTTTAAAACTTTAATTTTTTATTAATAAGACATTAAATTCAATTAAAAACCAGACATTTTGTTTTTATATATTTGTAGTCACATGTATTTAAGTATTATTTAGTGATTTTCAAATCTAACCCAGTAAACACAAGTGTTTACTGGATTGGGTTTAAAAATAGCTATAGCATATAATAGATGAGACAAAAGTCCTCCCTTTTTAAGATGTCTTAAGATTAAACCCCACTACCTCTTTGGTGGTATTGTAGTTAACTTTTTTCCCAGTAATACGTATTTTTTGCATATATTGATATGTTTTGCATATATTATAAGATTTATTTTGGCATTTTTTATTATAATAGCAACAGTTGCATCAGCAAGGTTTGCCACATACGCATCCACCAGGAGTTAATCTTGCGCATCCTGGACTTCCACCTCCCCATCTACCACCTGGAACTAACTCAGATCTTTTGGCTCTTTCCAATGCTGTATCATCTGCACCTCATCTACAAGTGAAAGAAGAAAAAGAAAGCTCTCTTCGTGATTCTCCTCTTCCACCTCGCTCAAGTTTATATATGTCTCGTAATACTACTGACAGTCATTCTTCACATGGAAGTGATGATGGTCGCGACGAATATAGTCGAAAAATTCATGCATATGAAAAGCGTGAAATGCCTCCCCACTCAAGTATCCCCAATATTAAAAGTAATGTCAAGAAAAGAAAAGAAGATAAAGATGATAGTGATCATGAAAAAAGTGATGGAGAGTTAGTTGTTGATGACCATGTATGTTTAAATATTGATATACTAAGTTGAAATATATATAATACTAAGTTAAATAGATGTAAAAATTTCATTTTTTTTATAATTTAGTCATTCTAATTATAATTTATAATAAAATGTTATTTTTAGTTAAATTACTATGAATTAAAATCAGGAACCATAGTTCTAATAAACCAGATTGTTTGATGTTTTCATCTTTTAAACTGTGGTGGTTTACTTATATTTAAACTTATTCTTTCTCTAACTTTTTGAGTATATTTTTTTCAATCACTTAAAAGAATTTACTTGAGTTTTTAAAGTAAACTTTTAATCCTCTGACCAATGCTTTTTCCACTAATTATAAATTCATGGAAATTTCATTTTTCTAACTATCAAGAAAATGTTAACTTTGATATTTAAACTTTTACAGTATCTTCTTTTAAGCTCTACTGATGTATAAATACCTTTATTAATAACTATATACTAATTAGAAAAAGTAAGTTACTAAAAATGCATATATTCAAAAAAAGCACTTAACTTATTTTGCAGGATCGTTGTTCACCAGCTAATGGAAGTTTACTACGTAAGCGTATTGTTAATGGAGAATCCTCCCCACCTTCATCACGAAGTAATTCTGTTGATAAGAAAATAAAAAAAGAGAGTGGTCGTGACAGTGTTAATGACAGATTAGAACGTCCGGTAAAGTCTCCGCTTCCTTATATTGCTTCAAAACATGGAAAGGTTGAATATTTTATGATAATAAAATAAGTTTTATGTAAAGAAGTTTGGTTAAGAATAAGGTTTTTTTTTCTTTAGCAATTGATTCCAAAATCAGCTCCTAGTCCTATTCATTCATCGCCTGCAATTGCAAAGATATCGCCAATACGTATGCTATAAATTTTAATTGCAATATTTTTATACTATTTCATTGGTTTTTTTAAATTTTTTTTTCAGTTTTAAATAAAAATTGTGATTTTCATTAGGTAATGGACCTTATCAACCATTTTTATCTTCACATAATTCCTCTGGAAGTGATTTGAGTCCAGGTATTAATGTTTTTATATAATCAGTAATAAAACATAAATATTTTTATCTATTCAAACAAATATTTTTATCTATAAGTATTAATTCCTATTAATAAATAATATTAAATATGCAATTTTAACTTTGGTTTTTTAATTAGGAATGCACTATTCTTCAAGAGGACCTATGGTAAGTACTTTGATTTATTTAAGCATAATAATTTTTTTGAAAAAATAAGAGTTTATTATTTTGCATGGATATGGCCATATCTTTTAGCCAGGTGGTTTTGATCCTCCTCGAAATATGGGGGGTGTTCCTAGCTTTGGAATACATGGAAAACCAGCATACTCATTTCATATATCTGGTGATAGTCAAATGGTACCAGTAACTCTCCCCGCAGATGCCTTACTAGGACCAAATATACCTCGACATGCGCGACAACTAAGTACTTTAAACCATGGTGAGGTTGTTTGTGCTGTAACTGTAAGCAACCCCACCAGACATTTATATACTGGAGGAAAAGGATGTGTTAAAGTGTGGGATATTAATCAAGCAATTAACCAATCGACTATAAATAAACCTGTTTCAACGCTGGAGTGTTTAGTAAGTTTTAAATTTATAAACTAAATCTCAACAAACAATTCTACATCGTAGCTTTATAAATAGTTACTGCTTTTTATTAGCAATACATAGCGTAGCAAAAAAACATTTTACTTCAACTTATATATATTTTTTAACTTTTTTTTAAGCGTGACATTTATATTCGTTCTTGTAAACTTCTCCCTGACGGAAGAACTTTAATAGTAGGAGGAGAAGCAAGTGTACTAACGATTTGGGATTTAGCTGCTCCTACGCCTACTATAAAAGCTGAACTTAACTCAAATGCTCCTGCATGCTATGCTTTAGCCATAAGTCCCGACTCAAAAGTATGCTTTAGCTGTTGCAGTGATGGTAACATAGCTGTTTTAGATCTACATAATCAAAAAATCGTACAACAATTTCAAGGTCACACAGACGGCGCTAGCTGTATTGATATATCACCAGACGGGACTAAGTTATGGACTGGTAAACATTAAGAAATGTAAATTTATTTTTTAGATGTTTGTTGTTTTGTCTTTTGCATTTTATACTAATTTACTATTAAGGTGGCTTGGACAATACTGTAAGATCTTGGGATTTGCGCGAGGGAAGGCAGCTGCAGCAACATGACTTCAACTCTCAAATTTTTTCTCTTGGATATTGCCCTACAGGAGAATGGTTAGCGGTTGGGTAAGATTTGTTTTTATAACATTCAGGACATTGTTTTTGCTTTATTTTATAAAGTAAGTTTAACACAAAGATATATTTCATCATCTTTTATGTTTATAGAATGGAAAGCAGTAATGTTGAAGTCCTTCATGTAACTAAACCAGATAAATACCAGCTACATTTACACGACAGTTGTGTTTTATCGCTAAAGTTTGCTTCGAGTGGAAAATGGTTTATAAGTACAGGCAAAGATAACTTACTTAATGCTTGGAGAACACCCTACGGTGCTAGCATATTTCAGGTATTTTGGTTTTGAATTCTTTAAAAAATTTTTGTCTTTTTTTATTGTTTTAAAAATTAAAACTCTTATTAAGTCAATTCGTTATTAACTTAATTATTATTAACTTTATTATTATTAACCTTATTATTATCAACTTTATTATTAATAATCATATTCAAATGTTATTCATATTCTCTTAATTATGTATTCTCTTTTTTTATCAGTCGAAAGAGTCGTCCTCTGTTTTAAGTTGCGACATTTCTGTCGACGACAAGTATATTGTCACCGGCTCAGGTGATAAAAAAGCTACGCTTTATGAAGTCATGTATTGAATCAACCGTTGAAATTCATATAATGAATTGTCGAAGCATCTCCAGCTCTCGGGTTTAATTAGTATTCATGTTGATATAAACAAGTTCCAGTTACAGAGAATATGGAAAATAGTATGACTACTTTCACGTCAACAGTTAAACGATCAAATCGCCTAATAATTATCTTGTCTAAAATTATATAATGTTATATAGTGTGAAAATAATGGGTAATTAATTGAAAATAGGAATGAATTTGTGTCATTTTTATCGATATATTGCATTAAATATTTTTCATCGTTTATACCGATATATTATATCGTTTATACAGATACATCGCTTATACCGATATATTATATCGTTTATACAGATACATCGCATAAATCCTAAAAATTCCTAACCGATTCAGGTTTAAAATTATTCAATAAATAAATTTTGTTTAAATTGTATTAGTTATTATTTTTCAAAGTATATAGTCAATTTGTAACAGAAAATGTCGTAATAGAAGTCTGGGGACTTCTATTACGACATTTAATAATCGCGACATTTTATCAATACAAAAAATACATTAAAAAGAACTTTTCTCGTTTTTTAATTTGTAATCGTTTTTAAATTGTCTCGTTTTTTAATTTGTAAAATTTTCTCGTTTTTTAATTTGTTTTTTAATTTTTAATTTGTTGGAAACGCATTAAGTTAAAAAATATTAGGAATTTACTATCATTTATCAAATATGTTTAAAAAGTTGAAATACAATAATCTAAATTCATGAGGGAAAAAATAGTTTAAAAAAGTAAATTCTTTAAGAAAAACTCACAATAGAAAAAAAGTGACATTCTAGAAACAGGTATGGTCGTGAAAAACTCTCAATACGAAAAAAGTGACATTCTAGAAACATGTATGGTGGTGAATGTAGAGATAGTAATTAAATATTTTTTCTTGGTAAAGATTGATAAAATATAGTCTATGTTTGCGTCATTAGAAAGGTAATCAAATAGTCTGTATTAAAAAAATTTGATCATAAACACTATACAAGGAATAAATAAAAAAATTAATTTAACGTTTTCATTCGAGCTGAATATTTTTTAGCCACTCAATTAAATGTTAATAACATTATCTAGTAGATCGATAAACAGGAAACCTTAAGTTTAACAGATAATGTTATAAATTTGTAACCAGTTTATAGTAGCAAGTGTGAAAACAAATATAGAATCAAATAAAATTAATGATATAGGAGAACTGTACTTAACTGTTACTTGTAATGGCGAAAATCTAGAATAAAATGTAGATAAAAATACTAAACATGTTTTTAAATAAAGTTTAAAGGGGTTTCATTACCCCTTTTATTAGGGGAGAATCGTTTTCTATAGAATAAGTAGACAACCTGCTAATACTCTAACACTTGTAGATCTTTACCAATGTTTTCTGTATTTTTCTGCTGAACATATAGCTGTTTTGCCTAAAAATATAGTCAACTTGTCCGTAAATGTTTTTATTTGTCTATAAGCTGTTGTTTTTCATCAAGCAAGCTTTGCTCTACCTCTTTGTTTGCATTCATCGTTGCTACTCAATTCACGTTCTGTTGTCTCTGACAACGGCGTTTCAAACTTACTTTTCATAGTTTTAGATTTTGTTTTCTGGTTGCGCCAACGACGATGAGCAATTCGTTTTTATCTTTCTGATAGTTCTGAGATAATTTTCATTTGTAGCCAACGTTTCGTTCTTTTTCCCAAATTGCATTTTTTGCTAATTGTCTGTCTCAAAAAGCATTCTGAATTTCAGCACGTGATCTTAGATGTTTCATGTTGTACTCTTAGATGTATTTCCTATTGGAAAAATAGTGTAAAAAGACATGTAATTTGACAGCAAAAGTTTATTTTTTATTATTATTACAATATATTTCAGGCTATACACCATTTTGAATCATTTATTTTGAAGGCCAAACGTATTAAAGTTAAACATAAATATAAATTAAACAATAAATGAAATCCTAAAACTTAAATGATTACAATAAATAAAATTATTTACATATCTTAATTTCTTACAACCGCTTGAAAGTAGAAAAATACAGCTTATATACGGTGCAACGTTACCCATCGCTCTAATTGTTGACGTGTTTACTCAATGCAGAAAACTGCATAGCTAAAATCAATTGATTTGTTTTGTCATCGTAATGTCAGCTCTGCTATGTTGTTGTCAGCTTCGTTACTAAGAGGAAATCACAAAGTTGACAGTAACGGAGTAGACATGTATAAATAATAAAGAATATCTCATTGTTACTCACTGAAAATATGTCTAAAAATTTTTATTGTTTTATTACTTATATGACAGATAATTATCTGTCTTATAAGCATTTGAGTTGGCACATTGAGCAAGTTTTGAACTATAGTTGGCAAATTGTAAATATTTAGCACATTTTTTTTTTTGGTGTTTCTAGTTGGCAAAAAATGCATACAAGAGCCCCCCCCCCCCATTCCTCCATGGAAGACCTCTTCGGTCTTCCGTGGGATGGGGGGGGGGGGGGTATTGGACGGTCCCAGTGATTTTAAGAGTACCAAAACACGCACTACAAAAAATGACATTAAGTCATTATTAAAGAAAAGTATTAAGACTTTTTACATAAGAAATGCATCCATACGATATAACTTTAAATGTAAATAAATACCATAAAAAAGATTTTTTTAAAACTATTTTAATAATTTAAACTACAAAATATTGACAATTATAAAATGTAATAACAAAATATTTTTGTGCACTTTATTATGACGGTACAACAAGTTTTTGACAACAACTACAACAGGTTATCCTGTTGTAGTTGTTGTCAAAAACTTGCTGTACCGTCAACATTTGTGTACACGAAATGTTTTATTTGTTTTAGCTGTAAATATCAGTTAAAATGCTACTTTAGGGGAGAGTCGGGTAATGGCGAACACGGGGTAACTCCGAACAAGGCCGTTACGGCGTGTTAGGAAAGGATAGTTGACTAACTATTTTTTTCTGGTGAGAGTGGGTTACATGCTCAGTTCCAGACGTGCAATAGTGTAGTATAGATGCGCAAGTTGTTCACGATAGATTGATTCTAAGTTTTTCTCTTAGTTTCATGTAATTTTTACTTGCGACACATTTATGTATTGGATATACTATGTATATAAAACCGCAAATTTTTTTATGTTGTTGCAAAGTATCATAATCATGAAGTTTTTTACACTTTTAATATTTAGGGTATGTTAATACTCCTCCAATATATTCCTTTAATTTCATTTGATTGGGTCGCGGGGAAATAACGAACGATCTTAGTAGGGTAATCACGAACGCTTATTATTTTCTCAAAGTATTCTAGCGTATCTGATAACACACGGACGTTTCCTATATCAATGTTAAAAATTCGATTTTGAACCAAGTAAATATATATATATATATATATATATATATATATATATATATATATATATATATATATATATATATATATATATATATATATATATATATATATACATATACATATAAATTATATGTATTATATATATATATATATATATATATATATATATATATATATATATATATATATATATATATATATATATATATATATATATATATATATATATATATATATATATATATATATATATATATATATATATAATATTTATATATATATTTTATATATATATATATATCAAGGCCTTCTTAAACAGGCCGCGACAGCTCATTTTCCGTAAAATTAGCGAAGGCCGACTTTTTTACGGTTAAAATTATTTTTTATCTTTGCTTTTGTAAACAAACTTCAGAAACAAATAAAGAGCTTTATTAGGACAAAACATATTGATTGAATTTCGAAAGCAAATATTGTAGGAATTTTTTTTACGTTTAGAAATAAATTAATTACAATAAAAATTTAAGGAGTTTAGCTAAAAGTGACTAAATCTCTTTTTTATAACTATATGTTTATTTTAGCTGTTTAACACTTGTAATACAAATAATAAATTTTTTGATAAAAACAAACAAATATATTAACTTTATTTTATTAAAATTATTTTGACTTTTTTGACTCAAAGTGTTTTATTTTGAAGTTGAAAGTTTTGCTTGTTTTATTAAACATTCCTTCCCAAAATCTTTAGAGTGTTTTTTACAATAATTGTTTAAAAAAATGTTTGCCAAAATGCAGCAAACTTTTTTAACACTTTGAACAAGCAATTGAAATTTACTATTGCAGTTAATAAAAATGTCAATTAATCCTTTGCACAGCAATGGTGAAACTTTATTCACAAGTGTCACTTCAAATATAAAAAAACAATAAAAAACAAAGTAGACTAAATTGTCAGAAGGCTTCCCCTGTTCAAAGAACTGATCAAAGTTCCATATTTTTGAAACATATCAAAGGTGTCTGTTTCTTCTAAAATTGAGTGTAATTCTGGAAGTTTGTAAGCAATAAAACCTGCAATATATAAAAGCCCTTGTTTGCATTCATTTGGCAAGTGATCCTCACAATTTTCACATATTGACATATTAAACTCAACATAAAATTCACACTTATCACAGTGGTGGTGAGCAGGAGGAAATATTGTAAAATCTGTATGTTTGTCTAGCAACTTTCTAGTTTTGTCGATTCTAAATTTTTGAATATCATTTTGCACAGTTATCAGATATGTGCTACCTGACCCTTGCCAATTTTTCCCAAACTGTTTTTCTAGTGCATCTGATTGCATATGTCCTAACAATACATAAGATACACCGCAATTCAACAAATACTTGGCACAGCTTGCTAATCTTTTAGAAGTTTTTTGCAAAGCACTTGCAGTATCCATTGTTAACTTTTTCTCTCTTAATTTTGAATTTACACATTTCAAACTTTCAGCAAAATACGAAATATAGTTCTCTAAGAAATCTATTTGCCAATCATTGACTGAAGAAATAGGCTTTTTTCGAATATCATTTAATCTAATATCTAGACCTTTTGCTTTACTGTTGACAATAAGCCACCACTTAACAACTGTTTCAATAAAAAGTGCAGTATCTTCAGCTTCAGGAAATTATACATGTAATGCTGCAACTGTTTCATCACAAAAAACTTTAAGAACTAATCCAACATTTTGTTGCTCAATCGGTTTTGGTGACACAGCTTTTTGTGTTAAGGGTGACAACTTAACTATTCGACTATCTGCAGCATGAAGTTGAATTATAAATTTCCATTCTGCAAGTCGCACAGTATCGTTATCATTTAGCAATCTATATTTTAAACATTGTAATTGTTCAGTGATCCAATTATTTCGAATACATTTTAAAATATGCACAGTGTCATTTAAAAGATAGTATGCTGGAACTTTTTTTGCATTAAAATATTGAAATGTTTTTTGGTTTACTCAACAGTTATCCATTATTGACCCAAAAGGCTTTCCACCTGCAATTATGATTTGTTGATTTATCTTTTCTATCACGCTTGTTTGAAAATTTGTTGTAGAATTTGTAGCAAAACAAGCTTTTCAACGAGATCAAAATATACTAAACGAGATTTTGAATAAAGATGCAATGCTTCAGAAATGTCTTCTAAAGAAAATGGTGTATTGTTTGTTTTACTTAATAAAGCTACTTGATGCCTAATATAACTTGCTCGCTTAGAATCTGTTTCATTATTAATAACATAACTAACAGCATTCTCCAGTTGAGAATAATATTTATTAACTCCTTTTTTTTAAAAAGACAGTTTAATTTGTAAAAGTTGGCTTTATACAGTAAAATAAATATCTCCAGAATCTTCTAAAGTTATATATATTGAAAACTTAGGTACTGGTCCACAATGTTCATATGATATTAAAGATATATTTTTTTCTTTTTCAACAAAATAAAATTTTTCTTCACAGTTATTTATTATTGACAAATTTTTAACAGTGAAATTAAATTTAATAACGTTCATTTTTTTGAAGTTTTCGAACTCATCAGGTAAATTATTTCTTTCAGAGCATATTAACCCAGTGACATCTCGTTTTCTAGACACTATTGGAATACAAGACACTGGTATACCTTTAAAGACTGATGGAGGATGCACTGGAACAAAACTACCACCTTTGACTTTTTTTAATTCTGCATCTTTAGGCCAGTGCTGAGCACAAATTAGCTTATAATCTGTAAACACAAAGTTTGCATTTGGAAGTTTTTTAATCCATAACTTATAGTTTAAATCAAACAACCAAAATCCTCATTGAAACTTTAATTCTCCGTAAAAAAGTCGGCCTTCGCTAATTTTACGAAAATTTAGCTGTCGCGGCCTGTTTAAGAAGGCCTTGATATATATACATTCATATATATATATACATATTATATATATATATATATATATATATATATATATATATATATATATATATATATATATATATATATATATATATATATATATTAATATATATATTAATATATATATATATATAAATATATATATATATATATATATATAATATTTATATATATATTTTATATATATATATATACATTCATATATATATATATATACATATTATATATATATATATATATATATATATATATATATATTAATATATATATAAATATATATATATATATATATAATATTTATATATATACTTTATATATATATATATACATTCATATATATATATACATATTATATATATATATATATATATATATATTATATATATATATATATATATATATATAATATATATATTATATATATACATATATATATATATAAAATATATATATATATATATATATATATATAAATATATATATTATATATTATATATATACATATATATATATATAAAATATATATATATATATATATGCATTTATATATATACATATACATATAAATTATATGTATTATATATATATATATACATATAAATTATATGTATTATATATATATATATGTATATATATATATATATATAAAATATATATATATATATATATATATATATATATATATATACATTTATATATATATATATATTATATATATATATATATATATGTATATATATATATATATATAAAATATATATATATATTATATATATATATACATTTATATATATATATATATTATATATATATATATATATATATATATATATATTATATTTATACATACATATATATATATATATATATATATATATATATATATATATATATATATATAAATATATATAATAATATATATATATATATATATATATATATATATATATATATATATATATATATATATATATGCATTTTAATTATGTAAATAAAGCCAAAAAAAACTAAAAAGCTTCTCAACATGTTTAGTGGATTTGTTTTAAATTGTATCGGACCAATGCTAGATATCAGTAGTACACATAAATGTATGTTATTTTAATTTCTTTTTCATTTTAGATGCCACGAAACTATAATAGAAAAACTGAAATAAAATATAGGCTAGAGGATTTAAAAAAGGCCATAAAAGACGTGAAAAATAAAACTTTTTCATTAAGTCAAGCCTCTTTAGCTTATTCGGTGCCTAAAACCACATTATTTGACTATTGCAAGAAAGAATTCATAACACAACCAAGAGGTGGAAGAAAATGTATATTCTCAGATGCACAAGAAAAAGAGTTAAAAGAATATATTGTCAAATGTAGCCAGGTTTTTTATGGGTTAACAATTGAAATGGTGCGAAAAATTGCTTTCAAATTTGCTGAACGAAATAAGTTGACCCATAAATTTAATAGGAAAACCCAATTGGCAGGTAAAGACTGGTATTATTCTTTCATAAAAAGACATTCAAATATTTCATTGAGAAAATCTGAGCCCACTTCATTAAACAGAATAAATGGATTTAATGCAACAGAAGTAAAAATGTTTTTTGAAAATCTGGAAACTTTACAAAAAACTTATCACTTTGACCCTAATCATATATATAATGTTGATGAGACCGGTATTTCTAATGTTCAACGAAATTCCAAAATCTTAGCCCTTAAGGGCCAGAAACAAGTTGGGATGGCAACCAGTGCGGAAAGAGGTTCAACAACTACAGTTGTTTGTGCATTCAGTGCTTCAGGAAAGTATATTCCTCCATTTTTTGTATTTAAAAGAAAACGCATGAATAATCAGTTGTTGCGGGGAGGCAATGCTGATATGCTTGCTACGGTCAGTGACTCAGGTTGGATCAATGAAAATTTATTTGTGGACTGGCTTAATCACTTTATCTCATTTGCTAAACCAACCAAAGACGAACCTGTGTTATTAATCCTAGATAACCATGAGAGCCATATTAGCCTTGATTGCTATCTACTCTGTCGTGGAAATGGAATTGTATTATTATCCCTTCCACCACACACTTCCCATAGAATGCAACCATTAGATTTAACATACTTTGGTCCACTCAAATCTGCATACAACAGGGAATGTGACATTTTTATGGCAGCAAACATAGGCCGAAGAATTACTCAATATGAAGTTGTTGAACTATTTACAAAACCTTTTAATCGTCTCAGCAATATTGAAAAAGCAGCCAATGGATTTCGAGCAGCTGGTATTTATCCGTTAGATCCCACAAAATTTAATGATTTTTTTCCAATCAGTATCGTTACACATGAAACGTCATTACTTGATAACATTCAGAGTTCAGAATCAGTTCAGAGTTCAGATACTCAAGCCAAAAATGATTGTTATTGTTTAATTTGTGAAGAAAAGTATCATGATCCACCCACGGAAGACTGGATAAAATGTTATAAAAGTCTTGGTACCACGAGAAGTGCACAAGTTGTGCAAGTACATCAAGAGGTTTTCTCTGTGATTTTTGCTATGAATAACATTTATTGATTTTTTAAATTTTGTTAATGTAACATTTTATTTACATTGAATAACGTTTATTGATACTTGATTCTTTAACGTTTGATTTGTTTAAAATTTGATTCAATAATATTTCAACCCTTCAATTAAGTTTGATTTGCTTTGATCAACATTTTATTCGCTATTACCCAACAGTGTTTGTGATTACCCCACGGTATGTTCGGAATTACCCCACGTGCGTAGGGTAATTCCGAACACCAAAGGTTTTGTTTTTGACCGAATTTTTTATTTTATAATAAGATATATGAAAATTGCTTTTGACTGCTTCTAACCGAATGGTTAGACTAACTGATAAGCTATAGATATCATCAATATATAGTAATAGTTGTCTTTAATTTGCTTTCCCGCTTAACTGTTCGCCAATACCCCACTCTCCCCTATATTAACCACAAATATTACTACCCGTAGCGTATCATAGCGCTATATTTTATGTTAATTGTACTATGATTGCGTTTTAAGAGTTGACCGAATGAGAAAATGACTCAAAAATGTTTTTAGAATTTAATTTTCTTAAAGTTTTTGCTAAGTTTAAATACGTTTTTAATAAATGGTAAAAGGAGATCCCTCTGCAAACTTTAATAACGCCAAGAAAAAGTAGATACAATACCTAATGAAAATAGATTTTTTTGAAGTTTAAGTATCTATTTTTGTCATTATATAGTCATGATTTTTCATTTTTGTCATTATATGATAACAGCTTTTTATATTGCTTTTTAAATTCGCTATATTTAGTTTGTTTCATTTTCTACTGTCATTTTTTTTTTTTAGAAAAATTTAAGACAACTGTAATTAAGGTGCTTTTCAAAAATTACCGTCAGTCGGTTATTAGTTAGCTGGTTTTTAGTCGGTTATTATCAAGATATTTCCGTAAAATATAAGTTCTGCAAGATAAAACAATTAGGTTGTTTAAAACAAAAATACCAAAGATCTACCTGTGGACTGCAAGCAATTTTTTAAAAAATATATAAAATGTAATAAATTTATCTAGATTTTTTTTATAGTTGTTAAGGTGCACTGCGGAAGGGCAATTTAATTAGGATGTTCACGTACGAATGTTGCTTATTGGTTAAGAGCCGGCGTCGAACCCCGGACCTCTGGGTTCTGAACCAGAACTCTAACCACTTTGGCACGGCTGCATTTGAAGGTTTTACGTTATATATTTTAATTTAATATAATGGCGTTATATAATATAATGGAATCTTAATTTTAGCTTTAATTTCCAGATCTGTGAAGTTCTTGAATGGTGTTTTTAAGCTATTGCAAAGCTAATTTCAACTATTGCGAAGACATTACAAACACTAGAATATTCCTCAAGAAATAGAAGAAAAAGATTGGTAGTTGTAGCAACTACCAGCAAATTTTTCTGTTTGTTTACTTTAACACTTACATTCTTTAATAGATAAGATAAAATATGGCGTAAGATAAGATAAAATTTTTAGGAACTTTATTAGTTATGAGAACTTATGAACACTTTGTAAAAGTTCGCACACTTTTGATCTATAATTATGTGCAAATTAAGAACGTTTCTTAATTTTATTTGCATAATCCCAAAGATGATTGCATAATCCCAAAGATGATTGCATAATCCCAAAGATGTTTTAAAAGAGGCTTTATATAAGTCTTAAATTCTTTCAAACTTAAGTTATAGATTGTCAAAAACGAGATTTTTATAAAAAATTTTGATTTAAGTTTTATTAACTCGCCTTAACCATGTTGAGAAGTCGTTTATTTTGTTGACATAATATTGTTAAAAGTTTTTAAAGTTCAATAAATATAAAAAATCTATGAATAATAAATATTGATGTATCAATTTTCCAACCATCTGAGAAAAGTAAATATACGAATCGTAAACTTCACGCAAATTAAGCAAATAAAATATAACAAAATATTTTTCCTGTCATTTGTATGATGTTAGTAAAAGAGTTTGTTAATAAAAAGAAATAGTTTTCTTTTTTTATTATTATTATTATTTTAGGTGCCCCAAGAAGTCCTAACGGTTGTGTCACAGAGCACCGTGGAAATGCATTTAACCAGAAAGTTCACGCCTCCTTCCTTACCGTGACGCGAAATCTTTTTTAGGCTATAACTTAACATATAATAAAAAATACGTACATTACATTAGTTAAATTATATTTTAGGTGAATGTTATATATTATCAATGAATATAATATTATACTAAACAACAAAGTGTGTGTAAGTGTGTGTATGTGTTTGTGTTTTTGTATGTTATATTATGTCATACAAAATGGTATTATATGAATCTTATTTATCGATGTAAAGGATTTCTTAGTTGTTCTAGTTGGTTTGTTTACTGTCGGATTATGGTATTAAAAAAATATACTCAGCAATTTCATCCTCTAACAGTTATAAGCTTAGATAACAAATAACGTAAACTGCGTACTTTATTGAATTTGGTTAAGAAAGCGTAACATTTTTAACTTTTAAACAATTTTTTACTTTTAATTACAAATTGGTTAACTATAATCAATATTAATAATAATGTTTAAAAATCCGTTAAAAGTTTCATTAAATGTTTCATTAAATGTTATCAACCAATTTGATAGATCGTGGTCAACCAATTTGAAAATAATAATTATATTAATTTAATATTCGTATAAAATATAAATGAAAATATTTAACCTAACCTACGGATGTTCGTAAAGGTCAGTTGCTACTCATTCCTTTTTCTACGGGAACTTGAAAGGAAAAAAAAAATCACGCGAGCATGCATTGCATAAACTTTAATTTGTCCAAAAAAAAACTACGCAATCTCCTTTGATTATTTTCTCTTTCCAAATCTGTTCTTGCAGAAAAAAGGAAACATAAAAACTTTAAGACGTTTTGCGCTCAGTGCGAAAATTAAAATTAAATGTTATGTTCTATAACTTATATACTGATTCAACATATTTTTGTAGTTTTAAAAAACTTTGATTATTTTAGAAAAATATTTCCTCTAGAAACAGGTTGTTATTCTCTATTCATCAGTCATCCTGTAAGTTAAAAATTGATTTAAAACATCAACTTTTTTTGTAACAGTTAAAATTTGATCTTGAAAATTTGAGTTTTTATTTATTGTACTTCTTTCAATATTCGTTGCTTCTAAAATTCTGAAACTTGTAAATAGCTACTTTGCTTACGAAAACTTAAACGGTAGCGTTTCCAATGGCGACCCCCAATATTAACGTTTGTTTACAATAATAACGTTTGGAAAATACCTAAAAGGTTTCAATTAGGCTTCCTTACTTCAAAATAAGAAAGCTGCTTATTTAATTATACCATATATAAGTTTTATGAATATACCTCAAAATATCTGATAGTTCTCGATATCTTATTTTTTATATCACTTGACTTGACCGTTGCTCAAAAATATATTTCCTTATATTTATTGATAGAGATGTACAAAAATTATAAAGAATTATTTTTTGTCAGTTGATCCCCATAAAACTAAAAGAAAACAACAACAAATTTGTTTCAAAAAATTTAATTTTTTTTTTTTTTTCAAATTAAAAAAAAAATAAGTTAAAGGTAGTGCTAGCCCATAATATGTAGTTCTGATATAAAAATATAGAAGAGTAAACATGGTTTATTTCATTTTTATGAAACTTGTACATGGTAAGAGTAAACATGGTTTGTTTTTTTAAAAAGATTATTAAATATTAGAAATGTTATTTTTTTGTTAAATCTGTACATACAAGTAAGTACATAGTAAATGATTAGTAGGAAAACATTGAGTACACTTTGTTAACTAAATAGAGGTTTAAAATGGTGTTAATCAATTTACGTTAGAAGTAGTTATTTAAGCGTGTTTTTGTTTACTATAAAGCTTTTTTTTATTCTTTGTTTTGGTTAAGATGCTAAAACAAGCTATGTTTGCAGAGCAAGATCGAGTAAAAGAAAAATATGTTTGCATACTTAAAGTAGAAATGAATAAAGAGAAATAAGTGTTTCCCAAACAGTTTTCACTTAAAAACTATTTGGATTCATAAAATAAGTCAAATTTATTTGAATTTATTTTATTTTTTTTAATTTTTAATTTATTTAAATTTTATTTTTTATTATACTTGCGTGTTTTCTTTATAAAAATTTTTTTTACACAGATCGCACCTAAAAACGAGTGCTCATCATCAGGGTGCTCTCTTTTTGTGTTTAAGTTGTCAATAAGTTGGGAAGTTTAAAAAAAAATAATCTTACTACGGCATAACGTTTATCAGTCGGTCAAAAAGAATCTATTATTACAGATAGGTCATTAAATTTAAATCATTTTTTTTAAGGTCAGTTTTATTTTAATAGTAATGCTAATCTCTTGTTTTAAACAGTTAACAGGAAACTCTAGGTTAGTTTTCATTCATCCGTTTTTCTAAGGGAACGGGAAAAGAAAAAGAAAAATAATCGCGTGAGCACGCGTAGTTTTTTCTTTCTCGTTCCTGTAGAAAAAACGGACAAATTAAAAACATATAGTTTTATGTGTTTTATTTATTATGAAAAAACAGTCATATATAACACAAATATTTTTAAATCAAATTTTAGATAAAATGTTTAAGTTCAATGGAGTTTGGCTCTTTTCGAAATGACTGGGTCAATTAACATTTATGTCGAATTAATAAACTTATTAGTCTTCTGTGATTTACGTCTTCTACAAATAAACACTTTACGTATGTGCTGTAAGCCACGTCTTCTAAGCCGCTCGGTACAATTAGCGCTTATATATTAAAATAATGAATTATACGCGGCTTTGAATTATTCCAGTGGGCACGCGTCGTCCGGGGGACATTCGTCGGACGATGCGACAAACATTCATATGGTGAATTGAAAAACCAAATTAAAGTTGTATAAAGGTAGGCATACAATTGTACATTAGGGATATAACGGAATTTTGGCCGGAATTTGTAATTTTTAAGTCAAACAAGTTCCGGCCGGAATAACAATATTTCAGGCCGGAATGCCTGAATTTATTTTTTACTTTTTTTTTT